TTGCCAATCAATTCAAACTACTCGCTACCTTTTCATATATCAGATTTAGTATCTGGTCTTAAGTAGGGGTCTTTGATCCATTTTGAGTTGAGTTTCATGCAGGGAGGTAATGAAGTATGGATCTATTTGCATTCTTTCTACATAAAGCCATCCAGTTTGAGCAGTACTATAGGAAGATAAGGCCTATGAGGGTGAGAGATGAGCCAACCTGGAGTCAGTCTTCCCGGTGCTGTCAGAGGTCCTCATCCTGCCTAGCCAATGAGGGGGGGCATTGGATGCCAATGGATCAGAATGCCTAGATGCTACGAGGGTATATAAAGTTCTCCCCGTTTCTAAATAAATGCATTTGCTGCCATAGACACCATGCCTTCTCACATCCCCTCCTCCAAGGAGGCCTTTAGGACCCAGCCACATCAGGTACCTGGAACAGGACATCTAGCAGGTTTTGAGCTTGCCTGGACATAGTCCTTTGTTGTTGTGGCTGGTTTTTTTTCGGGTTTTGGTGTCCCCTCTCCTGGCTCACAGCACTGGGCAGCATCCCCAAGGCGGCATTTCATAGTGAGATGGCCCTTGGTGTTGTGTGTTCTTGGTCCCTTCAGCATTGGGGCCCCACGATTTCCTTCTTTTGTGCCGTCTGTTTGTCTGCCCATCCGGTTAGGAGGGCACATATTTTTTATGTTCCACCCATGTTGGCTGTCATATTCTATTTGACTGTTGCTCAACTGTAGTTTCCCTCTTCAAAATGGGTAACCTCTACTAGGATTCAGGCATCATGCTGACCCCGAGCCCTGACAATGGGCAGGATTCGCACTACCATTCTGGCAGATACTTAGACAGCTCAAAAGGCCCTGTGTTTCGTGTCTACGCCATGCGTTAAGTGACTGCATCAGGATTCTGTACACATGCGCAAGCTTTCCCTTTTAATCAAGCACCTCCCACTCCACCCCTTACCCCTTCCTTCACCCCATCTACCCCTTCCGTCTCTGTCCTGGTTGGCCAGCACCTACCCCTCCCTTTGTCCCTTTCCCCCAATAAACTTTGTGGTTCATGCTTCATCGCCTGCGGCTGAAGCAAAACCTCTTTCAGCTCCATGTCTGATCTCTCCATGGCATCCTATGATGAGAAAGCAATTAGGGGAGAGTGGCCACAGTTAAGACTGCCCATGCCACTTCCCCTTCAGCTGCACTGGAGGCCATGTCTCCACCGAAATACCCTTGCAGCGAAGTGTCCCAATGCCCACCAGACCCTGAAGTCTGGAATTTCGTTCTGCGGCTGTCCTCCACTCCCAGGCATGAAAGGCCAGCAGAAGCCTTTTCTGGTCAACCTGAGACAAAGTGCAGCTGGAGCGATGGAGCGATCCTATCTCCCTCCAAGTGCAGCTGCCAGCACCCCTGCTAACCCATGGGCAAGGGTATTCCTGTGTTTTCCCTCAGACTGCCATGTTGCCAATATGAGATGTGCGCCTGGCCATGGATATAATACAAAAAGACTATTTGATCCCTCTTAGATGTTCACATATGCCTTAATTGGTGGGATGGTTATTGTTAACCCTTATTCTCTTTAAATGTCTCTTACAGCATATTCTACAGCAGTGGGGAGCAACTTAGCCAACTCTTCAGGTGTCAATGGCTCTTAGGCATCCCCCTCACCATCCTCTGCAGGAGGTTATACACGCCTGGCTGTCTGAAATTCAAAAGGTTACTGCCTACCCAACCCCTCCTTCTCAGCTCTCCAGGACTGAATGCTCTTTCAGGTCTGGTAGTCAATGATGGTGGGTAAAAGCTTGTTCGGCAGACCAACCCAAGACAGTCACAGGCCAGTTGCTGATCTCTCCTGAGGCGTTGTCAACAAGGTCTGAGCAAAGAACTCTGGCTTCCGCTAAGCATCCAAGTAATAAGAAAGGGTGGATATGTAGGAAGATAAGGCCTGAAAGGGTGAGAGATGAGCCAACCTGGAGTCTTCCCAGTTAGCTGTCATGATTATGGCTCAGATGCAAGCTCTTACCTACTGCTCGTGTGCCTGCCTGCCTGCTGCAATGCTTCCCATTATGAAGGCCATAGATTCACCCTCTGCAACAGGGAAGCTCCAAAACACTTCTGTAAGTTGCCTTGCTCATAGGGTCTTGTCGTGGTAATTGGAAAGTTATTAAAACAAGTGCTTTGAAAAACTATCTTCTGGACATGACATACTATTATAATAGATACCAATGACGTTTAGAAAATCATTAGGTCTTGTCTAAAAATCGTACTTCACCACACTGGCATATCTAAAAGAAATGGACACATTTCTAAGATGCATATGATTTACCAAAACTAAGTCAAGGTGAGATAAACAGCTTATGTAGATTTATAGCAGGCTGTGAGACCAAAGTAATTCAAAAACTCCCAACTTAATAAATAAATTAATTAATTAATTAATACGGTCAGGCTCTGATGAATTCAGACTGCTGATGAATTCAGACTGCTGATGAATTCAGACTGCTGATGAATTCAGACTGCTAATGAAAACCTTATCACAGCAATGGTTCTCAAACTGTTCCATAAGACAAGGAAGGAATATTACTAAGCTTTTTAAATGCTCTTATAACAAAACCAGATTAAAGAGACAACAAAATACCAATCTCCCTTTCTGACATAAAAATTCTCAACACAGTACTTACAAAACAAACAAGAAAATAAGTTACCACAATCAAGTTGGCTTTATTTCCAAGATACGGGGATGGGTCAATAAACATAAATCATTGTTAGAAATTATATAAATGGGATCAAACAGAAATTACATGATCACCTTGATAAATGCAAAAAAAAAAAAAAGGCTTTAAACAAAAATTCAACATCCTTTTACATTGCAATTCCTGAAGTTCAGAATAGAAGGATCATCGCAGGATAATAAAGGATATATATGACAACCCTACAGCCACATAAACTTTATGAGAAGTCAGTACTGCCAACAAGATCATAAATTTGAGGATGTCTACTCTTGAACTCTTAGTCAATATAGCACTAAAATTATTAGCTAGAGCAGTAAAAAAAAAAAAAAAAAAGAAAAAGTGAAAAGATCTAAATAATGAAGTAAAAACTAATATCTCTACCCGCAGATGACGAGTATACATATATTTGAGTACACAGAGGATACCATAAAGATTCCATCAGAAAACTCCTAGATAGGATAAGCATTTTTAAAAAGATTTATTGTGTATGCAACACTCTTCCTCCTTGTATGTCTGCACATAAGAGGGTACCAGATCCCATTATAGATGGCTATAAGCCACCATGTGGCTGCTGGGAATTGAACTCAAGACGTCTGGAAGACCAATCAGTGCTCTTAAATTCTGAGCCATCTCTCCAGCCCCAATAAACACTTTCAACAATGATTATCATTAAAATTAAAGTGCTTATCATTAAAAACAACATGCAAAAATCAGTAGCCTTCCATATATTGGCTAATAAACACACAAAGAAGAACTCTAGTAGGGAAGTAATCTCACTCAAAGTTATATATCAGCCTCCAAATCACATGACTAGAGAAGGGACTAGTAACGCAGGTGAGGGTCGTCTTCCCATTTTTACCATGTAGCCTTGCTGCTTGGCTGTACTGTCCTGTTTATATCATCACCATGACTACAAGGTCTTCTGTGATGCTCCCACCCCAACAGCTCTGCTTTAGGAGGGTTATAATCATGTCAAGTTCAGCAGACCTTGCTTAAAATATTCCAGACTACCCCCGTCTACATAGCAAGCTCCAGGACATCCAGGGATACATGCAGTAAAGCTGTGACTCAAAAACATAAGAATTCTGCTCTAAGTTGTATCCCTCAGGAAATTCTAAGGGAAAGAAAATGCCCTGAGATATGCAAAACATAATTTCGGGAAAAAGATCTGTCATCGTAAAATGGTGAACACTGAACTTTGTCATACACAGTGTATCTTAGAAAGGTAGCGTGTAGGGACTGATTCCAATATATGTGAACACAATTATATAGGCGTATACAAAACAATACATGGTAAAAGAACACAGAAGGGGAGGCTGGAATAAGCACAAAGAGCCACCACAGAGAAGCAAGAAACTCAAACCTGCTAGGACAGAACCAATCCTACACACACGCCACTACATGTACACTGAATTACATTTCTCCTGTTTTGCTTACACTTTATATTCTAGTATTTTGCACTTAACAAAAGTCTACACCTTCAAGGATGGCAACAGTCAAAGGAATTTAGATGACCAAAGACAGATACCCACCCACATTTTTCAAAACATCTCAGATACTTGTGATGTTACTTTACAGCAAGCAACATGGCTTAGTGGTAGACACACGCTGCAGAAGCCTCACAACTTGAATTCAAGTTCAGATCTCACAGCAAGAGAAAAAAAGCAACTTCCTAAAATGGTCTTGATTTTCCACACATGCTGTAAGTTTCCACACAGAAGCTGTATGTGTGCCCACTCATACATATACTATAAACACACACACACACACACTTTTGAATGTCTGCTTTTGCTGAAAAGCCTTGCCTCCTTCCTTGGTCCCACAAGTCCCTTGGAATAGTAAAGTCAGAGAGAGGCATCTACAGCACTCCAGCCTCAGAAGGGAGCATCTACTACTCGTGAGAAGGCCACAACTGGGCAGGTAATCACCTCTGAATGGCTTCTTTGGGCCAGCATCTAGGACCACCCTTTATCCAGAACTGCTCAGTTATGCCTACACATGCTCCTCGCCTGAATTCTCCTCAATCCACAGCTCATGTGACACATTAAAGACAAGACAGGTGTGGGGTCACTAGATTACTGTGTTCTTGTCACCTATGTGGCCACACTGAATACATTTTCTGCTTTCCTCAAGGCCCACGTCCTTAACTGGGGTGTTTAGATAGGAACTGGGTGTCGCCACTGAGGTCAACAGTCAGGAATTCTGTCCTGCAAACAGTGGCTAAATATCTATACGCACAGTAATTGTTTGGATTCAAAAATAAGAGAAAAAGAAAAGGCAGGCCACTGGGTAATGCTGTGTGATGATATGATTTATTTAACACGATTTTCCAATTTTCCCAATGATTTAGGTTTCTTTACTTTCACCTCAACAATCAACACACTTTCGTATTTTATTGTATTTTATTTCATTGTAATCATGTATGCTATTTTAACATTTTATTGATACCAGAGACCAATTGTTGACCACTGAGTAGTGCAGATTTCAATTCGACCCTTGGTAGCTCTGGTGTCACGGCTGGATTCTTGGCATTTGGTGATGGTGGCTACTCCTTCAGGCCCTTGTCGCCAATCTGCTGCAGGGCTTTTAAGCAGCACACACTCACTCCTCCCACTCACATGAATGCATGTTTGTCTGCAAGTAAGCCCATGAGCCTATCCCCACCATGATCATATACTGTCCTTTGTTTCTGCTCCCTGAAAAACACCTGTCCTTCTGCAACCCTGATGACTTCGAGTGCTATTCTAGGTGTGAGCTTATGGCTTACTTTCTCTTGCATTTTTGTTTCTTTCTTTTGATTACTTTTTCATTACTTTCTTCAATTACTTTTATTTCATCTGTATTCACTACTTCTTCACCCATTAAGTATACTTTCCAAACTCAAACATGACTTTATTAAAAATAAGCACAAACCCAAATATTCTTAGTGCAATGCATCTAAGTTAATAGATAAGACTACTTTCCTTAAATTTTCATTTATTCCTCCTTAGACGCCAACCATAAAGTCACACCTGAAATATCAAGAATTTAAAAGGACAACATACAGCTTTCATAGACAAAAATACAATGATCAAGACAATCTACTGTATAATTTATCAAAGTCAACAGAAGACAGTATTAAATGGCCATCTCCAAATATATCATTAACAATTTCTCCAAGAAAAAAAACAAAAGAGATGTAGGAGACAGGATGGGCAGATAAGATGAAAACTCTACCCAGATAAAACCATGTGGGTATTAGGAATTTAAGATCAAACTTCTAATACAAAATTTTAAACCTAACAGTTCATTGGTCTGGGGATAAATTTCAGTCACAGAGTGCTTGCCTAGCATGCATGGGGTCCTAGTCCTGGGCTTTAATCCCCAAATACCACTTTAGGGGGTGGAGGGAGAGTGTTTTTCCTTTTTCAGATAGAAACGGGATAGGACATTTCTTAATAATAGTTTGCTAATTATTTTAAGAAAAATTGAACTTGCCCATTCCACCAGGAGCCAAATAAGTTCTTCCCATAACCCTGTCCTTCACATTACTAAAACACTATCAATTATTTGGATCAATTTCCTGTTTATTTCAACTATTTGTGTATAAAGAATTACTGGAGCTGAGTTGTTTAAAACTATCTGAATCGTCATGATTAGGCAAACCTAAGCAGCTGCTCTGACAGGGGTGTGATGAGAATCAATGAGACTTGAAATCTTCCCTTTAGAAACACACAATATGTGTGATGCTAAGTAGTAAGTAGGTCACATCTCACATCTGCTTAACAAGGAAGAACTGTGTGCAAGCCTTACCAGGAGAGGTCTAGTAAAAGTGTGCACCGCCTATTTTAACACTGATAACCTGCATAGGTTAAGAATGTAACATTAAGACAAAAATGAAAGCCATTATCATTTGACCAAAGAAGCAAAACACAGAACTGAGGAAATGAGCTTAGTGTGGGTCCCGGAGATCCCACTATGATTCTGAACCAAATTTTAACACAAAGACATCTCCATACAGCTTCCGTGACTGCTTCTACTAGAAAGGTTCAAAATAGGTGAAGCAAGCGTGGCCTACATTGTTAAAGACAAATATCCACAAAACCAAAAGTCCCATGGTGTGCCTCAGCTGGCCACGTCATCTCCCCTGCTACTGAAGGTACCTAATAGATGAAGGTCACCTACCTGATTTACTCACTGTCCGCACTCAGAGGCAAATGGGACAATGGATGTCTTTTCAAATCTAATACTTTATAATTACAGAAAAGCAATCCTAAACAAACTACTTTTTAAAATTCTAGGGTTAAGATAAGCTCATTATCTGTAAATACTGAAACACAAAAAGGCTCACACAACCTGGCTGTGTTAAGTAGCCATTTCCTACTTTAATATTCATTCACTGTGCTCTTAAAATCTCTATGAGAGAAGTGGGAATTTTCTCTGTTATCTTTTGGCAATAGATTCAAAAGCAAAAGCTTCAGGCCTGCAAAATTTCATAAAGTCTGCAGTTTTTAAAGCTAAATTATTCAATATCGTCAATTATTATTGCACTCATTATGTTGCCCGGAGTATGTCTACAACAAAAGTAAGGTAAGCACGTCTACAAGCATTTGCTTTCCTTATTAGATAAGCGTGCTCTCACAAAGGAAATGCAAACTGCAATTTAAATAAGCCTATATGTGTGTAACAAAGTATCAACCTCTTATAGAAAGAAATCCAACCCCCAACACTACAAATCTGTGAAGAACCAGAGGGGGATTGCTGTCCACAAAGTTCTGACTACAGATGCATTTCACTTTGAGATCACTGAGCTAAAACAGCATTTCCTCAAGATTTAAGAAAAATAGATTTTAGGAAAGACTCTTTGAAATCACTGAATACATAATTTCTGCCATTAAGAGAAATAACTTAAGTTTTTCTCTGCAATAATTCATTCTAATGAAGTAACTCTCTAACTCCTAATAAACAGTACATTTACAAGAGTAAGGGAATTATCAGTAGGCATTCTTCCCTGTTTTAAGTTATTTGTCTCTAAAATATGTCAAGTAAGCTTTTAAAGACTCGGGGAGCGGCAGCTTCATGATCTTTTCCCTCAGTAAGTTCTGAGGTGGCTCCTCATGCTTCATGGCTTCGCTATGATCTTTCTCTTCCTCTTTGCTGTCTTCTTCCATTTTTTCATCCTCCTCGCTGTCTAGAGGCTGAGGAATGAGCTGATTACCCACAAATACGTAAGTGTTAATTCTCTGCTTCACTCTCTTTCTTTTCCTCTTGGGTGGAACCCTTTGTGGGATCCCCCTGGCTTGCATCTCATCATTGATGAAGTTTCTGAGTGTGCGTCGAATGTAAATACGAGCCAAGTCTTGGAGATTCCTGACAGCACACGGGGCTAAAACCAAACACAAAAATGAAAAATTATAGACTGCTTGCTTCTTTACAAACCTTAAAAATGGCACACTATAAAAATTATATTAGGAGCACTTAATGCATACTGAGCAGGACAGGCCGTTTAGGAAAATGAATTGAACATCCCCATTGCTATCTCCATGCATGCGGAGTCTAAGGAAGAATAAATAATAATCTAGAAACAGGATAAGGATGAGATGATAAATATATAACAGATTATTTTATACGTATTATTTTATAGTGGTTTTTTTGTTTGTTATACGGGGGGGATTGATCACAACCCCATTCATAACTCCAATCCCAAAGGATCAGATACACATCTGTGGCCTGTGAGGGACATATGCCCATGTTATGCATGTGTACATGCAGGCAAAACACAAATAAATTAAATATAAACGTAATTTTTTGTTGAGAAAACGAATAAATCATATGGAGGCAAATATTTAATAGAAAAAGTCAATGCAGTATTTGAACAACTGCCTGTACTCTGAAGCCGTAGGGGGTGCTCACGTGTGTGTGTGTGTGTGTGTGTGTGTGTGTGTGTGTGTTCGGTGGGAGACAGGGACAAAGAAAGAGCGAGGCAGAAGAGTACACAAGCACCCACGCTGGTTTAGGGCAAAGGGCCATCAGGTACGAGCTGTGAATAAACACAGACCCCCCTTACAAGAGGCACTGTTGTAAGATGCTAATGTTTACTTACATCAAATATATCACAAAATGGAGGAAGAAGGAACATAAACACAATTGATCAAAATACCAAGTGTGCCTTTGATTCAAAACTCTTCAACAAATCACTTTACAAACTACTTGTTAACAATAGGCCAGTCACATAAGCACTCATTTAGGTATACAACTAGTTTAAACTAGAAATTCCCTGAATACTGGCAGCTCACATGTATGGAAGAGACAGGCAGACAGCAGGTTTCCTCTAGCTAAGGGCAAAGGCCTCCCTGAGGAGACAGTTCTGCCAGTGGCTAAAGGAGCTGAATCACTTCTAGCCATGAAAATGGTCTGGAGCAGAAAGACAAGCAAAGCCCTAGTAGGTGAATGGGCTTCATGTGCTTAAGGACAAATACCGTGTAGGTTGTGGTGTTTGGAACAGCAGGTCAGCTGTACACTTGAGTGATCACATGAGCTATGGCTGCACGGACGGGAAGGGGCGGAGGGATGAGAGACAGACAAAATATCGATATATAAAGAGAGCGCAGAAACAAACTGGCTATGGGGGCAAAAGCAATAGTATCAACTAAAGCATACAGTGTCCACCCTGAGCTCTGGGCAGGTGCCAGTGTCAGATACAAGCAGGGTAGACACAAAGGGGAACAGGACAAGAGGAAACACACAAGTGTGTTTGCTTGCACTGAATCTGAGATTGCCATTGCTATCAAAGGTCATTACAGGAGCAGTATCAGCAAGTCCTGGAGACAGGGGGGTTGCTGGGGCTCCCTCCAGCCTTGGCATGTGTATGCACAGGGACAGGCATCTCCACACATGCGTATAAACATAACACACCAAAAAATAAATATAAAAAACCCTGTCTTCTAGCTAGAGCTATAGAATGATTCCTGTCTTCATGAAAATAAACAATTACAACAACAACAAAAAGGTAAAGACTGAATAAAGTCATTTAGGTTGAACCATACAAAAACATTTTGGTTTCCAAAACAAAAACAAAAATAATAAAAAAAAAAAAAAAAACTAACTTCAAGTATTAAATAAAATCCACAGAAACCACTGTTGTAAAATTTTATAATTTATTATGGATTATCTGCCCCTGCCTAAATTTAAACAATATACCTTCTTCTTTTTGAAATTTTAAATCATATTTCTATGCATATAAACCACATATACTTAAAGCCATGGAAAATATGATTTTAAATAAAATAAAAAATGTAATAAATTAAAGGAAAAATTACAACTTTATTTTAATAAGCTACTGAATATAAGCACTTTTATTCTTAATAGTCATCTGGCACAGAGTTTACACATGTATTGTTTTTAAGGGTTTTTGGGATCAGTGTTCTCGTCCATTCTAATTCCCTGTAATTATTAGGGCGATGTTCTAGGAACAAAAAGATACTGTGACTGATTTTAGCAGAAACAGAAACTTGTTCGAATTCCCCACTCTTTCATGGAATTTTTAAAACGTTTTCATTGTATGACTATTATACAAATATTGGGCTGGGGGTAACCTGTTTTTGGAGACTGTGCTTATATACAGAAAGATTTAATAACAAAAATGTGCCCCTTATCTGAGATTAACGACTCCCTCTTCACGACGGTCCAGTTTCGTCAACCTTCCCACTTTTCTACCCCACCACAATTACTTCTATTGAAAATGTATTTCAGGGGAAGAGGGATTGTTTTCATTTGTGCCTCTACATTCCAACTGATCCTATTTCACTAAGTGTCTGTCTTTCTTCTCGTTGTGTGTATGATGACGATGTGTTTGCATGTGGATACACACAGGCCACGGCACATGTATGGAGGTCAGAGAACAGAGTTGGTTTTCTCCTCTGTGGGTTACTGGGGTCAAATTCAGGTCATTGGGCTTGTTTTGCAAATACCTACCTGTAGCCATGGAGCCTTCTTGTTGGCCCCTGCTGAATTGATTTCTACTTTGTACTCATATATACGCAACCCGATATCCAACAGCTGGCAGGAGGCAGCCTGCAGCACACCTTCCATGCCAATCAACAGTTACACTGGCATGCAATCATACTTACAACTAAAAGCAAACAAACAAAACAAAACCAACAACAACAACAAAAAAAAAACAAAGCAAAACAAAGATGCTGTCACAAAATCTTGACCAAGTAGGTGCTTTGACTGAATTCTAGTCATAATTCAAATATGCCTCCACAGACAAGCCTTCCTTCCTACCACCCTTAGACCAGACACTGTTCTACAACCAGTTACTGTCTACCAAATCACAAGCTAGTAAATTCACAGTTGGTATGACCCAATTCTAGTTTCCAGAAATGAAGCCATGGTGCCTAATATAATATAGAGACTTTCTTTTTCTCTTTTTTAATGGAAGAATCAATCTACCCATTGCATTACCGCTGTATTTAATTCATTATAGTTACAGGATTCACTAAATCCAAAACGTGAGTGAAATACCATCAGAGACAATTCATTCTGGGAGGTCAAAGATCTACTTACGGAGCCCCACAGAATCCGCTGTGCCGTTATCATTCTTACTTGGCTGTACTAGTGGTGCAAAGGAAACAGCAAGGATATTTTTACTTTCCCAAGTGTTTTGTCCAGTCCGCATAATCTGTGTTAACTATTTGGAGTAAAACGAGAAAGAAGCAATGTCATTTACCTTCATGTCAAACTTTTATAGGAATAATTGCCAATGAGAAGATAACAGTTAAATGCAACCAAGTCATTTACACTTAAGTATATATTATAATACAAGGAATCCACCACCCACCCCACAGGAAGTGTATGCCTGGTTCTCAGAACCCAGGGGAGAACCTACTACTATTACTTAACTAAATGGACACAGCATTAAACTGCCCATCATGAGTAAAGCTCTCGGTCTTTATCAGAAATTAACAATTTGTCAAACTCTAGAGAATGAGTGTCTGGGAAGTACTCAGACATAAATGTGACATCTATATCACACCGTCCCACACTCCCAAGGCTCAGGGATCATCACAAAAAAGAAGGCAGAAAAACTGGAAGACCCAGAGGTCACGGAGCATTGTTACAAAACAGTGTCTTCTGGACATGCCAGGACCATGGCACCCCCGGTTCTGGAGCTGCAGGTCAACAGCTCAGCACTGGGGCAGGAACTCATGAAGTCCCACCCACAGCTGAGGTAACTGAAAAAGGGAAAAGTCGGTTATTTCAGGGACAGAGTCCTTGGTAGATGGGCCATGATCCAATGGGTGGCCCCACACCCATGTGTGTATGAGCAACACTGGCTGGACTCTTTATGTTTTTAAAGGACATGAAATTAGGAGCGAGCCATGGGATAATCTAGAAGTTGCAGAGGGGGTAGTAGATGGTGAATATGATCATATATAGTTTGTGTGTATGAAATACACAAAGAATAAATTTATGTATAAATGCCAGGAGATGAATTTTTTTTTTAAAAAAGGACTTATACATATATGGCCTGGGGAGGGAGGGGAATCCGCATGAGCATGTGTGTACCAGCAGTCATGTGGAAACCAAAAGAGGAAGCTGGAGTTACAGATACTTGAAGGACAGCCACCTTGTACTTGAGTGCTAGGATCCTAACTTTAATCCTCATGATTTGAACCCTTGACCTCACAGAGATCCACCTGCCTCTGCCTCCCAAGTGCTGGGATAAAAGATGTGTGCCACCACCGCCCAGCTGCACAAGCATTCTTAACAAGCAAACCATGTCTCTAGTTCCAAAGTGGAATCCTGAATGCAAAAGGAATACCCAAATACAGCAAAGTCGAGTCTGTATGTTACACTCAACACCGACAGCTTCTATAGGTACCACTAGAGATCTGGACACTATACCGCCTCCCAAAATAAACGTCTGAAATAGGTCCAGTTACTCTGTTAAAGCATTGTTAAAAAGAACACCAATAAACTCACTTTCCACTCTTCCCTAACAGTGATAAAACACATTCTAACCTGATTTGACACCACAAATAAATACACTCAGGGCTGGAGAGATGGTTCAGCTGAATTAAGTACTAGCTGCCAAACCTGACACCTGGGTTTCATCCCTGAGACCCACAAGGCAGAAAGAGAAACCAACTCCTATAAGTTGTCCTTTGACACATATGTCCCATGCACATAATAAATAAATGCAATTTAATGTTTTTAAGTAATCACATAAAAAGGAGTTATATCAATGGTCTTAGAATTCCTATAATCCCAGCACACATGTGCTAAGACAGCAATGTCCTGAATACAGGCTAGCTTGAGATACAGACAAGATTCTGAGTCAGGAAAAACAGATCTTCAAACACATTATTAAAGGAAATCAAACAAGTGAGTTATTTTAAGTATAAACCTCAGAAGTATTCAGGTAAATAAAGGAAACTGTGTGTGTGCGCGTGTGTGTGTGTGTGTGTGTGTGTGCGCGCGCGCGCACCTATGTACTAAAGACAGTGCACACTGTACTCTAACTGAATCAAGGAAAGTGTGTGTGGGTGTGCGTATGTACTAAAGACAGTGCACACTGTACTCTAATAGAATCAAGGAAAGTGTGTGTGGGTGTGCGTATGTACTAAAGACAGTGCACACTGTACTCTAATAGAATCAAGGAAAGTGTGTGTATGTGTGCGTATGTACTAAAGACAGTGCACACTGTACTAACTGCCTCACTTCACACTAGGCCAGGCATGTCCATTTTTTTCTTTTACTATAAATGTCATACGCATGTATGCACATGCCTGCCTTCGTGTTACCAGAGATAGAACTCAAAGCCTTCCCTGAGAGGCAAGCCTCTACCACTCAATCACATCTCTGGTCCTTCAGCACCCTTATCTACTGAGCCATCTTTCCAGCCCTTCAATGCAAATTCCTTTTAATGTCTTGTTTCCTTTTTGAAGCTAAGCGCTTGTAGTGCATGTATTCAACTGAACACATTCCGGAGGACGAACCGGGGGCAGCTAGATGACTGCTCGAATGCGCTCCAGTCCCCAGTCACACTTGTTCTGTCTATGCAAGTGTGTAGAGCTATAAGGGCATCATTTCTGCTTCAGAAGTTACAGTGTATCTTCCCCGACACAGAACAGTAATTCCCAATCTCCAAACTGTGTACTCTCTGTTGGGACAAATGTAGGACAGAGAAGGTACCTGATCCTCTATAGGCATGACCAGTATTCCCCCAACTTTGAGCAAGATCTTCATGTAGTTTTCATGATCTTTCTGGACTCCAGCTCCACAGTAAATTCTATCATACTGATGACTGTCAGAAGCTATCTGAAGGCAATTACCCACCACAAATGCGGGTTCACAGAATTCAAATCTGTGTGAGAAAACAAACATTTTCATTTGTTTAAACAAAATATTAGCTCTCTAACAATTCACCATATACCTGTCCTTGAAACAGCAAGGCTATCAAAGTTAATTTTAAGGACAAAATACAAGAAGAAAATTTTGATTTAAATATGTGTGGAATTTAACACTGACCCGGTATATTATTTTGCTATCCGTGATACAACACACAAAGAGTTAATCTATTCTGGCCATACTGAAACCTTATGGAGGGCATATAAATGAATATAATGAAAAGGGCATCAAATGACAATCTTCAGATGCCCCCACAATGTTTGAAGACGGAAGTTAACAACAGGGAAAGGCATCACTTTCTACTCTCAGAAAGGACAGCTTCAAGGCCCTCTCTCTGATTGACAGTTGCTGACAGAAGCAGCAGCATAGCTTTGGCCAAGAGATGTCAACCTACTGGCCACCACCCTTCTGACTACTAAAGTTAGGCCGGCTTTAATAAAGATGTGGCCAGGCAACTGACAGGACTGACACAGGCGCAAATGGGTGGTGCTTTCATAACTGCAGCTTTGGTCCCTGAGATTTTTTAAAGCAATACAAGAGGAGATGAGGTTTCTGGGTTTATCCAACCGAGTACTCCTGGTTACAATGCTGGCTCCTGGCAATTTTATACACCAGTAAACTACCCTATATAGACTCTGACTAGTCCTTAAATTCTGTCAAAAAAGTGAAAAATACACTATCATACAAAATAAAATTAAAATTTCAATGCAAATGCAATCCTTTTTCCCCCCTTAGACCTTGAACTCACTATATAGACCAAGGTGATCTCAAACTCCTTCAAGTCCTGCCTCAGTATCCTAAGTGCTTGAACGATAGGTGTGAATCACAACCACAGCCAATCTTTTCAAACTAATTGTTAAGCCTTTAAGTTGATAGCAATAAAATCATACCATAAGATTAAGCCATTACTTCCAAATGAAATAATTTACAGGAGCATGGCATACACTGAAAGATGACCAAATGATTTCAATCAGAGCTAATTTTACTTTATAAAGCACATCCTGCCCTTGATCATTAGTAGTGAACTTCCTTCATCTTAAATTCTCATTAAAATGTATTATAATGCATGTAAAGGAGTCCACCAGTCTTGTGCCCTTAGGGAAGACTTGGAAGAGCTGTAAGGTAGGAGTTAACAACAGTACACACTATGTTCTCATCTCCACACCTTCACACTGAGCCAGGCATGCCCAGTATTTCTTTTACTGTCAATGCCATCTCACTGTTTGCATTTCTCAGAACTCCCTGCAGAGAATAAGGGGTTACTATGTTCTGGATGTACTATGAGTGTTTCCTTTAAAGAATCTATGTGCTGTAAGCTGGTCCCAAGTATGGCAATGTTGACAGGTAGTTAAATCTTTAAGGAGGGAGCCCTACAAGACGTAACTAGATCATAAGGAAACAATCTCAAAGGGATTAATTGCCATGTCACTAATCAGTTGTTACAAAGCACAATCATCCCCAAAATGTTGCTCAATATCCCCAAATATATGCTCAACATGAGATGCTGTCTGCCATGTCCTGATGCATCTGGGCCCCACCAAGGTAGCTTGTGTTCTGTTACAACACATACAGGTGTTTTGTTGTACACATTTTGCTGAAGGTAGACTGAATTACTTTCCTCTAATTACATGTAAGAACCATTACAAAGTATTCCGGTGTCTCTGTGTGTTGTTCCTTTGCCCTAAATTCCCCTCACTGGCCACCTGCTATTAATGATTGTCTCCTATACTTTCAAGTTACACTTAAAATATCAGCTTCATAATGAAATCTTAATCTGCAAAGGTTTTAGCTTACCTACATTAGGGATATTTTAGTTTCTCTCAGAGACAAGACTATATAACCCAACTTCTGTTTAAGATAGGGTCCAAATATATTTTATTTTAATGTTTATTTTATTATTACGTATATAGGTTTTCTCCCTGCATTTATGTATAATGTACCACACACATGCCTGGTGCCTATGGAAGCCAGGGAGGGATTTTAGATCCCCTTGAAACTGGAGTTACACTTTGAGAAGCCACTTGGGTGCAGGGAATCAAACCTGGGCCCAATGCAAGAACAACAAATTCTTAACCAGTCAGCCATCACTCCAGTTCCAAAATGTAACTTTTTAATTTTAAATAATCATGTCATGATTCATACAGCTTAATTATTTTTATTACATTTATATAGTAAGTGCTCTTTTTAAAAAGTTGTTCTCAGTAAGTTCTATCTGGAAAATCATCATTCTTATATTTTAAATAGTAATTTAAATTAGTCTTATAACTTACAGTCACAAAATCTTCAAAAAAAATCAGAAGATTTTTAATTATTAAACTTCTTTTACAAATCTATTAAATAAACTAGAAACATACTTTAACGGTTTTGAAAACTTCCTACTGCCTAAAATACAGGGCAGCTTACAGAACTAATACCTAACAAAACACCATTAGCAGCAAGCAACTTACAACTAAAACCAAAGATAAATATTCAAGAAGGTTGTGCCTGATATTCAAATTAAGCATGTGCCGCTGCACAAGTCCCCCCAAAGCAGTTCTTGTCCCTCCAGTCAAGTGGAGGCTAACTTTAGCCCTGGGTGCACACTGCAAACCAGACGAACGGAGAAGACAGACCACAAACAACTCACTCACTGCAGTGTAACTGACATTACAACAAGTGCTTTAGCATTTAGGGGAGAGGGATATGATTCCGTAATGATGGAGGTGAAAGGCATCACACAGACCTGGAGCTCTGAGGCTTCCTGTGAAAGTAGAAGTGCTGCTCTAAAAGGTCAGACGGGATTGTCTAGAGCCACACTATCCAAGATGGCAAACACTAACCACACTGACTTTGAGACTGTAAAATGTGGCTAGCCCAATGAGTTGCACTCTATGTACAAAATTCATATAAATTTTCAAAGACTTTATACAAAAAATAAACTATTCAAATAACTATTTTCCATTGCATACCAATAGACAGTGTGTACACAGCTACATCAAAGGAAAAAACACCACACAACTGGTCATTTGCCTGTCTCAGGCAGGCAGGTGGTGCAAGGGTTTTCTCCTTACAGAATGTTTTCTCTTTGGGATATATATTGTCCTGGTTTTTGTTTGTCTTTTTTGTGTCGGTTTGTTTTGTTTTGTTTGTCATTTCTGAATATGTCTAAATTTAACTGCATCTCCATCACCTCCAAATGCATTTATTAAATTAAGGAAAATATGTAAGAAATACATATGTTTTATTGTACCTTTTCTAACCACCAACGTCGAATAAGATCTCAAATTACGAATGCAATATGATGATCACAAGAATCTCAATATCTGAACAAAAATTTGCCTAGAAACAAAGTAATAGGAAGAGTGTATGCTCACTGAACTCTACAGTGATGCAATGCTTCACAGGTCACGGTGCTGGTTGGTAAATGCCCACTGCATTCATAGTGATTAATGGTTCACAGATCGTGACTAGTTGGTAACTGCAGCACCAATACATGAAAAATCAAGGTAACTCTTGGCTTTAACACCATTCATACAACTGAGTATCTAAAACCACACTCACTATTCTACTAATAACCTGAATTTTTTCTCTTCTGATGGAGATGTAATGAAGTCTATTTGCCTCAATGTGAGGATAAAAGCATTAGTTTGGAAAAAAGATTCAATCTCTGATGTCCACTAATACAAATGAAATATACACTCCTAATTCACTTACTTACTACACTTTAACATACTAACTTCCTTAAATAGAGCACTTAAATTTGAAACCCTACTGGAACTGGAAAATATTCTAGGGCTGGTGAGATGACTCGAGAATAAAGACACCTGTTGCCAAGCCCGATGACCTAGGTTCAGTCTTCAGGGTCACATGATAAAAGAACAGACCTGACTCCCACAAGCTGTCCTCTAACCTCCAAGTCTGTGCCTTGCCCACAACAAAATAAAAACATAAAGAAAATTAAATTTTAATCCCAAAACTTCTATACTATATCTGGTAACAAAAATTTTTAAACAGACATATCTAAAACTGTGAGATAATGTTGGTAATAAAAACATAAAGAATTTATAAGACAAGTATACAACAAAAAGTCACCACCAACTTATAAGAGTGTTAAATAAATATAATAAAAAGAAAACTAGAAAATAAAAATTTATCCCCAAAGTAGTATTCCTTATTCAACCATTATTTATAATTATAATTATGGCTTAATCTTTGCTACCTGTAATACATGAACTTTTCACAATTGGTTAAGGAAAAAGAATTAAAATTGCTTACTGTTAAAACTGTAAATAAAGCCTTACATATGGATAGAGATTAATTTTCAACAAAGCACTTATAGACACTTCTGAGTAGCATGCAGTGGAGAGGTAGACCACAGTAATATCACAATACCTTTACAATAGCATCAATGAAATAAATAAATTCATTCCAGTCTGCTGGAGAGTGACCAAAATTCCACGACTGACATTTTTTCCAAAAATCTTATCAGTTAAAATACCAGTTAAGTGGTTGAACATGTTTATAGATATGCTATTGATATGCATAATGAAATAACTAAATAATTGAATCAAGACATAGATGGGGGTTGTTAACAGTGTTATTTGTTACTGACCAATAAATTATAATTCCTACTGGTTCTTCCAAGGAGAATAAAAAATGAGAAAAAATATTTTTAGTTCTTAACTATTCGAAAAGCTGTGCCACGCTGTTTCTTTAAATACATAGAAACAATGCACACTTTAACCCTAAACAATAATTTCTGTGTAATCTAGAAGACCTCAGCAATAAACTGTCCAAAACTTCTGTGTAAAAACAGCACTATGGGTATTGATGAAATACGCATGTAATTCGGGTTAGAATATAATGGAAAAGGAAATCCAAATCCCATTTTTCATACAAATCACACATCAACTGAAACCTGACAATATAACTAATCTACCAAAATGACAAATATATGCAGTGATATTTAAGAATGGC